GATCCTGTATCGTATTCCACGAGTACGGCCATCCCTTCTCCGAGGCAAGCACCATCAACACGGGAGGTGCTGCACCGAATTGCTGCACAGCGTCATTCTCTTCGATAGCGTCGTCAGCTTTCTTGTACGACCATGACTGTTCTGGCCTCCCCTCACGCACCCCCATTCCCGTCCCCGTTTTATTTCGCTCCACGCCGTCCGGAAGTTCCACCGCATGACTCCATCTCGCATTGTACACAGACTCGTAGCATCCCTCCAGTTTCTCCGGTGCGCTCGTCGTCGTTGGGTTCCTCGCCTCCTCGGCAGCTGCATCCAAGAAATGTTTGGTGGAGTTATGAGCAGTTGCTTTTACCTCCGCAGCAGCCAATGACCACCCCGGTAGATTGTTGACACCCTTATCGCAAAGCTCGCGTATATCCTCGTCGAAGATCACTTCACCCTTCACAGCTCGCTTCATACTCAAAAAACGATCCGATGCCTGCATTGCGTTCAATGCTCCTTTATCACGGATATACTTCGTGGGGTCCTTGAAAACTCCTCCAGCAAAACATCCCGATTGGTGTCCACAACGCCCCTGCCGTCCAGTTCCCTCGTAAGAAAGTCGTTCAGCTTCATTTCATTGACGCGAGCTCTTCCTTTAAACAGTACATCTTCGATATTAGTGGGAAATGGTAAATTTCATTTCTTGCGTTCGTCTTAGCCTTTCCTCTGCCTCCCGCCTCGCTTCTGTCGGTACCTGCGTGAGTACTCTGTTTGGTTTTCCCCTTGCAAGAGGGGTAATCGTATACTTTTCCTTCATATTCCCTACGTTGCCCGAGAGAGAGAGCACACCTTCGTGAAGAGGCTTAGTAATGGCCTCCAGCGCTTGGCACTCAGTTAAGTTAAGAATTTCTTCAAGAGGCCGCTGGTCTTGTACGTAATCATCCGGCTCCTGAACAAACATCTCCATCGTCACATTGTAGTCTTTCATCAACGGCCGCCCTGCCGCCAACATAATTCCAAAGGAAATCGCTCAGCCTCATGTTGGTGCTGCTCAAGAGTCCACTTTGGTTGCTGCGTTCCCTTCACTCCTCTGCGAGTTGCAGCGTCGGAACCATCGCCGGAGATGCCACGGCGAGGCGCCATCACAACACCCGTGCTGTGAAGCATCCCACTCGCACCGCCAAACTGCGGCCAGCAGGTGCCGCTGGCCCCAAAGGACAGTCGCGGCTGTTTCGTCCCGCTGTCCCAATGGCGTTGGGCGTGGCATTCGCACGGCTCGGTGACCGGTGCGCCATGCAGCCGCACTGCAACGCCTGTCGGTGAAACAGTCAAGGCCCACCGCCCCCGCAGCAACGCAACGTGCAACCAACCCCAACACCGCCACACTATCGCCTTTCTTTATTTTGCTTTATTTACGTTTTCTGTTTGTTTGCCCCATCACCGACACCAAAAATAAGTGCACACCTTCACAAAAGGGAAGGAACAAAGAGAAAAGGAGGCACGATCCCACCGTCCCGCCGCGGGTCAACACTCTCCTCCACCCACCACCATCATCGCGCAGGGGACCGCAGTCACATCGCAGAGTCAACACCACAATGTGCACCACACCACCGTGCAGTGAACGATGGGCGAGACGCAGCCATGCATCGCTCCGCTACATTTTACCACCAAGCAATTATTGCGTGCCCGCACAAAGTAGCAAACACAATCAGAGTGCACACAAACCCAATCAACACCCTCACTCGCTGAAACACATTATTCGCATGGAGTGACAACATTTGGGGGCACACCAGCAATAGCAGGCTGCATGGAATTTCCCTGCCAACCCTGTGAAGAGACACAACAACTCTGCGGGGCCAAAGTGGCAGCCTCTCGGTGTTGCCCGCAGTCCACATGGCAGGAAGAATTCCACGCACGCATAGTTCCGGACACCTCGCTGTTTGAGTGCACATCAACTGAACATGTGAAAAAAATACCTGCGCGCAAGATGGAATTAAACACGTGAAGAAGTCGGCCTGCTTTGTTTGATGGTGTTGGCGAGCAGTCCCACACAATCCAATCAAGGTGGCACTCCGGACAGAACGGCGTCCGTCAATCAATAAAAAAATGCGACACAGAAAGGGAGCAGAAAAGAGTTGGCGCATGCGATTGCCAGCGACAACTGTGAGCAAACCCGCCAGCACCGACTGAGGTGCCGAGCAGCACGCTTGTGTGTAACTGACCGTCAGGCAGAGAGGACAGCCAAAACAAGAGGGCAGCAAACCCTCTCGTTCAATGTCTCCTGACCGCGACACCAGAATCAAAATATCATGGACGACAAGAGCGGCAACGCCTTCTCCAAAACATCGTGTCAAGAAGCCGCAGGACCTCAGGAGGGAGAAAGGCAACGGCGGCGGCCACAGCGGGGGAGGCAATAAAACGGCTGGCAGGCACCTTCACGTCGACGCGCACACCACATCCGAGTGGGCTGGGAGCACAGACCGAACCGCTCGGAAACACACGCATCAAATACGCGAAACAAAGTCGCAGTGAATCGACAGGAACTCCCCGCCCAAAAAAAATTTAAAAAGTAGCGTTTTTCAAGGGGAATCCGCTTTTCCGACGACGGCACGGACGCCTCGCAGGAATTTCTTGCAAATCTTCCTTCGCAGGTCCGCATGAAAACGCAGCGGAATAAAAAGAGAGCGCAACGACGCAAAAAAATAAATAATCCTCCTAACCGACCAGGTGGCAGGCCGCTCTCGCGCAAGTGGACAAAACACAACTTCAATCCGGTCTTGTGGTGGTGGTCGTCTCGCAACCATTTTTTTCCTTCTCGTCGCAGTGCACATCCCCCTCCCACAAATCATTTGTTCGAGCCATGTTCCTGTGGCCAAACATCGCGCTGCTGGATCCCGCAGCACAGTCCTCGGCACAGAAGTGAGGGGAGGAAGAGGGACCGCAGAAGGTGCGAGCAAATCCGAATTCGGTGGCGGTCGCCGCAGTGAAGATTGACGTCCCACGCGGTATCCCTGTTCTAGGTCCGGCCCTCACCGCGCCGTGCTCTCAGCGTACGGTGCGCCGGCCGCTCCAAACATCCACACGTGCTTGCGTCTCACCGTCGCTCCCAGCCCCGTCCGTTGGCTGCATCAGGGATGCCGCCATCCGGAGACGGGCATAAGGACGTTGCATCCAACAAAACCTTCAGAGGCATCCGGTGGGCCAACGACGACCGTCACTGCGGGATGTGTGGCCCTTTCGCCGCCCACCTCAAATCGCACTTCTACGCCTCCTCAAGCAGCAGCAGCAGCAGCATAAATACACCGGTCCACTAGAGGCCGTCACCAGCCATTGCAGGAAGACCACTGTGCCCCAGTGCTACAAAACCCGAATTGCATTGACGGGCCACTTCGGAAAACCCTGTCGCATCCTCCCCCATTATGCGGAAACACATCCGTCGTGCATGTGCCCACCGCAGCCAAATGAATCCGGTCCAAATACCCTCCAAATCAAATTCCCCCTTCCCCACGCCATTCCTTCATTCCATGCGCCCTGACCCCCATCCGCACGTTCCCGCTCACACAATCCGCCATAGACATATGGCAGCCGCCCAACGGTCCAAAACAACATGCCCAGCACGCACACGCGCACAACAAATGACACGCGCAAACGCACGGCACAACGGCGGAGGAGCGCACACCGAAAGGATGCGGCCCTCCACAGCAGTCGCAGAAAGAGTGACTCACGGTGCGCGCTCCCTCTCCTTCCTTCCCTTCATGCCCACGGAGGAATCAGCCACCACACGCAACCGCCAGCACACGCTACAAAAGAAGCATCCAAATCAAATGAAATGTGCGTCTTGTGCGAGCATGTGGTTGTGTGTGCCTGCAGCAACACAAAGCAAAGACGTGGAAAAGAGGGAGCAGAGTATGTGGAGGGACGCACAAAAATGTACAGCGGAGACGCATAACGGAAACAACAAGAAGAAGACCGCTCAAACTCATGACTGCACTGCAGCCCAAGCAGCGGCAATTCACACAATATTTATTGAAAACAAAACCGTCCCCTTCGTCTTACGTAAACCCCACCACACAAAATAATTATAAATGAAAAGAAATCGTCCATTGCTGCTCCACACAAATTTAAAATAAGAAAAAAATCGCCTGGCTGCCGTGTGGCCGCACCAAACTGTCTGTATGTATTTTGCCCGCAAAAGAAAATTAAAAAGATGTTTGCGTGTGCTTCGACCGTCCGACCCTCTGCGTGTCCGCACATCGTTTATATTTCATGGGGTCATCTGCGTGTTGCTGCTCCCCTCAGCCCTCTCATCGGCGCGTGAGTGCGGCCCGCAGAGCACAGTCACTCGTGTGTGTGGGGACTGAGAGAAGCACGCAGACATGACGGGAGTCGCGCCACTCCATCGGGAGAGTGAGCGCAGCAAAAGAAAAGAAATCATCGGAGGGGAGAGAAATGCTCACGAGGCCGACACCGAAGGGTGCGCCACCGCATGAAATAAACACGCAAAGCAAAACAAATCCTTAAAGAAAAACACGGCGGCAGGGTGTGGCTGTGTGTGTGGCGCTGCGGGTGTCTGCCCGCCCTGGCCGCAAAGAAAACAAAACAAGAGGGAAGAAATGTGTGCTCCGCCCCACAGGCCCTCGTCGCACGCCCACACATCACGGCTCCCGCAGCGCGCCGTTCGTCGCGGCCCCTCCTCATGCGTGCAGCAGGCGAGGCGCACAGGGCCGTCGTCATGAGCGTGTCGGTGGGTGTGCGAGTGGAGCAGTTGGGCGGGAAACACACGGCACCCCTCGCAGGAAGAGTGCAGCAACAAACAATTAAAAGAGGGAAGAGTAGAAAGGAAAAAACAAATTCCATCGTGATTGCCCCAAAAGCAAAAAAAAAAAAATAAAAATAAAAACACACAAAAAAGCAAACAGGTAAAAGCGAAAAAAAAGTTATTAAAGAAAATAAATTAATTACCGTGTGTGTCGGTGCAGGGGAGGTCGCAAGTGTCCCACGCGGCAGCCAGTCAATCCTCACAGAGCCGCGAACCCCCACAGTCCCAACAGAAGCAGAAGAAGAAGTGGCAGCAGTCCGCTCCCACTTACAGTGCCGGCATCGCTGTTATTCCCCTGCGACACATTTCCGAGGCTGCTGTTGAGTGCCGCAGCCTTTGCTTCCTTGTCCCGTGCATGGATGTCCTCCCCCTGCCCATTAGTTCCTCCCACCGTCTCCACCGTTGCGTCGCCATCAGAAAAAGAATCGCCACCCACATTTTGAGTTCCATCGAAAGATTCTTCTGACGCCAACGGGGTTGCAGGCCCCTCGTCTCCTGAGGAAGTCGTGGCACTGGACACTGTTGAAGCGGATACACCGTTCACATCACTGCTCCCCAACAACTGTCTCTGTCCCTCCTTTCCTTGACCACCAGGAGAAGTCTTAATCACGGTTCCCTGAGAAGGCTCATTCACCGCAGGTGGAGTAGAAGCTTTATTCGGGTTGAGGGCGGCGATCTCAGTGTCATCCAACGGGCGGTTGTACAGCAGGACGTTAGTCACAGTCACAGACACGCCTTCTTTGTTGTCTGCGTTTTCTCCATCCCCTCCAATGTAGAAGTGGGAGATCTCTTTTGAATCCTTATTTCCCAATGCACACGACACATCCCCACCCACACGATGACCATCAACATAAACGGAGCCCTGGGTGCCGTTCCGTAGCATAAGCACCACTTGGTACTGTGTCTCTTTCTCCCAGCCGCTGCTGAGCTCAGTAGAGGTTCCGTCACCGCACAGCACCTGCCACTTCCTTTCTTTGTTGTACGACAGTCCCAGAAGTACAGTCTTCCCGCTGTCATTCATCTGCACACCCATCAAAGGAATAGGACCCTCCTGCGGCACACCGTGGATGGACACCGTCGCCACAAGAGTGAAGTTGTAGTTCGCAAAGTGGTACAGCTGATTCTGCCCCTGACTGCCAACGGGCCACTCCGCCCACGCTCCCGTAAACTTCACACTGCCTTCATGCAATGCTGCCTTATTACCCCCTTCATTGTTCTTCACTGTGGCGTTCACTCCGAGGTACTCGTCCCTCCATGTGTCATCAGAGAAGTTGCCGGACAGGAAGCCAACCAGCCCATCCGTGATCTTAACAGTAGTGCTGCAGGCATTGCCAGGTGAGGGATTCTCCACAGCACTTGAGGGGCACAGCTTGGAGACAGTTTCGTCCACTTTCTTCCACGTCGCCAGCACATCCTTCACACGCTTCAGCTGCTCGGTCAGAAGCACAGAGACCATACCGGGTGATGATTCCTCACCGTTCTTCTTCTCGTACAGTGCAATCAACTCCTCCTTATCAGTTCCACTTCCAGCACTTCTGTACAACAGGGAGCTGGCAGCAGCGTCATCATCGGATACCGGCCCAATATCAACAATGTGCGTGTTGTCCGTCAGCCAAAGATGGAGTTCACCTTTTTCTTTTTTACCGTCCTTCTCGGGATAAACCGGCAGAGTAACAAGCATCACATTTCTGTTATTTTCATCACCGCCAATCTTTGCTGTGATGAACCCGCTTCTAACGGCCTTCACTCCTTCGCCCTGTTTGTTGCCCCACACGCGCGAGAGTGTCCCGAGCGCCTCCGTCCACGACTCCCCCTTGTCAGCGGACTCGTACACCCTGCGGCGGCCATCACCACACGCAGTCATCATCATGAGTTTTTTGTCCTTCTTCCTCCACTCCACGACGGAGGGATCACTGCAGCCACCGTCAGGAATCTCCTTCGATAACTTCCAAATCTCAGTAGTATCCTTCGAGTTGTATATGAGCAGTGAGACGGTCTTTCCGTCATTTGATTCACCCTTCTTTGTGCCTTCCACTGGGAACACAAGCGTACCGTCCTCCGTGTGAACACCCGATCCACCGCCTCCAAGCAGTGCTGTCAAGGCCTCTTGCTGGATGTTATAAGTGCTCTGAAGATCGTCAATCCCATTCCAATAAATTCTTTTGTTACTGCTCTCACCACTGACATTCCCCTTCGCCAGCAAAAGTCGGCAGTCCTCGGCATCATTCTTCAGAGGACCAACGGCTGTCTGGCTGCATTTCCCAACAAGCATGTAAATTTCATTTTCCTTCACAACTGTTGTCGGCTGGCTCACATGTACTTTTTTCTTTGGGCCTGCGGAAGCACCTTCCAGAGCAGCGTTTTGGGAGGCACATTTCTCTTTATCGGCAGTACATTCCAACAGTACTTGTGTCCTCAGTTTAGTTTTGTCCAACTCCACTTTTTTTTGTTCATCAGACAACTTCAGGAGCTCCGAGGCAATCCCAGTGAAATCTTCTTCATTACCATTCTTTCCTTTGCACTGCGCCTCAGCAACGGCAAACACATCACCATTCATCCCAACAAGACTGGGAACACGGAGAGAAATCACTGTTTCCTTATCATCCTTCACATCTCCCCAATCAAAATATGTTTTTGGTGGAGGTATCGGTGCTGGCGAATTCTCCTCACTGGTTTGCTGAGCCTCAACAGTGTTACAGCACATCATCACGACGAGGAGCATCAGTGCAGAGTAGAAGGGATGCCGGGACATGTTGGGCCTCTGCGGCTCACTCTCTCTTCCTTCCCTCCTCCTCCCGCTGGATCCGGTCATGCGGCGACGGTTGTGTGTGCGGGGTGCCTTCACTGCAGCAACACGTGAGAGCATACAAATATGTGTGTGTGGGCGGCGTGTGTGCTGTTGGTCCTTTCAAAGCCTTCGAATTTCACAGTAGCGATTAGCGTTTAGCCTTACTTCCTTTCCTTCTTTGTGTGAGAAAGAAAGAGAAGAGGAAAAGGAGTGAAACAGTGAACACCGTCACCCATCCACAGTGAGTGGCACCATCATCCCCGCCGCAGTCACTCCCAACAACAACAACTCACGCACACAGACACACGGAACGAGAAGGAAGAACAGTGCACCGGGAACACACAGCGACTGCCACCAGCAGTAAAAGCCACAACGGGTGCTTCCTCCACGCGTCAGCGCACACAGAGCAACGCCCACACGCACTGCCGCCAGTCGTTTTACTGTTGTCTCTCCCCGAACTATCCATCGCACATCGCCCCGCACAGCCGGAGAATCCTTCGTGGGTGCATGTACAGCGAGAGAAACACTTCGGCACGTGCAGATGCTGGGCAAGAATCCATGCGCACTTATCCCAGACACCCTCAATGACACACCGCATCAGTCAACTGCTACACGTCGCCAACGCCACAACCGCAGCAAGTCCAAGGGACGCACGGTGAGCTCACACCCTCCATCCCCGCAAATGCCACCACAGCCAAATTGTGTGCAACACGGCGTGTGTGTGTGTGTTTGTCAGCGCCTATACATGCAGAGCAGCTGTACGCCACAAGAGAGTCTGAAGAAAGCAACGGCAGAGAGAGGCAGATAGCACACACGCAAATTACTCATATCATCGCACACACACACAGCCGCGGAATGGGTGCACTCAACCACAAAATCAAAAAGGAAAACAAAACAAAAAGCCGAAGCGTGGGACGACCAGCGCACACACACTCTCATTACTCCCGTAAAGCAAAACACACACACAGAGGGAGAGAGAGAGAGGTCGCCCACTCAACGCAATAAAAACAAAACAGAAACAGTTACGGTGCTCCGCCCACGCAGCCAGGCAGGACGGCAGCGGTGCGTGTCGTGCAAAAGAGAGCACCAACGGGCCTGCATGGGTGTGCATGCATATATACAATGGGCACATTATTGTGTGTGCCTCGTGGGGTGAGGTGAGGGCGAGAGTCCATGCAAGGGGACACACACACAGAGAGAGAAGGACGAGTGTGTGTGCGGGCGGTGCACGGCTCTCTCTCCCTCACTCTCACGCGGCCACCACCGCAGCAGCAGCCGCACACGCAACAACAAGAAGAAGCAAAAGAGGGGAGGTGGTGTGGGAGACCGCGGTGCTGCCGTCACTGTCGCCAGCCTTTTGAGTGCCTTCGGTATTCGTCTTATTCGGTGCTCCTTCCGGACCTGAAGCTGAATTTCTTTTCTCTTGACCGCCAGCCGGCATCCCCTCTGAGGTGTTGTCATCATCCTTTTCTTTATCCTCTTCATTTTCTTCCACCCCATACTTGTCTTCTTCGTTCTTTGTGTTTTTCTCACCTTCTTCTTTTTCTTTATCTTCTTTGTCTTCTACCTCTTTCTCCTCCTCTCTTTCATCTTCGTGTTCTTCTGCAGCCTCTTCCTCTTCTGCACTTTCAGCTTCATCTTCTTCTTCTCCCTCTTCTGTCTCGTCTTCTTCTGCCGCCTTTTTTTTTCCATCGTCTCCTTCTTCTTGGTTCGCTGTCTTTTTCTCGTCTCCATGTCCTGGAACTGAAGTTCCTTTTTGAGGCGGCACGATAGCAGTTTCAGAATGCAGTAACTTCTTTTGAATTTCTGTTGTTTTGCCGTTTAATGCTTCTCTTGAATCCCCCAATAATTCATTTTCATCTTCGGACGGCGAAGCCTCTTTAATCTTTGTCCTGTCAACTTCCACCGTGCTGGCTTCCCTGTCTCCACTATCTTCAGCAGGAGGAGGAGCAGCAACGGCAGGACGCTGACGTCTCCAACGACTGCGGCCATCCACAACAGCATGTAAACTTTCCATTCCCTCATGCACGCAGTCCTCCACGGCGGACGCATTCGCACGGTCTCCTGTCCTCCTGCTGACCTCCTCCGCGCATTCCCTCCGCAGCTGAGAGCGCCATTCCACAACCAAATACTTACCCACACCGGGCACTACTCCAATTCCAGGTTCCTCGGTCTCAGCAACTCCATCAATACCGCACCACAGCACAGCACGCAGAGGGCACACACCAGCAGCACACGGCCAGCCATCATTATCGCCATCACTCCTGCCACTTGCGTGTAGCCTTCAGCACAAAATAACAACACGTCAACGCAGAGTGAAAGCAAAAAGGAGAGAAAAGTCACATAATCACGCAACGTCCCATTCAGCAATGAGAGTCACGCACCACCACAACAACAATTAGGTGGACGCGGTTCAACAAGAATCAAAACACACACACAAAAAAACAAGCAGCAATACAATAAAACAGTAAAAACAAAAAAAAAATCTGCGCCCAAATGGCTCCAGCACGCATGCACCCATCCTCAACAGTGCGTCCACGTAAACTGTCGTGTGCGTCTCGTGCATATGAGTTTGTCTGGGACGCGTTCAACGTGACGGATGCGAGAAGCAATGCAGAGTACACAGCAGGGCAGCGAAAGCAAATGAAGCAAAACACAATCATTATTTTCTATTATTTATTTACATCGGACCACAGTGGACGCGCGCACAAATCCCCGTATCTGACTGCTGGCACGCACAGCCCGCACACACCTCTTCAGCCCACAGTGGTGTACGCCAGCGCGGATACGGCGAGCACCAGCGGGGCACACACCCACGCAGAGCTGCTGAGGCTGCCGTCGATTTCGCGAAGACGTGACAGTGCGCGGGAAGTCGTCGTAGTTGGCGCATCTGTAGTTGTAGTACTTGGTGCCTCTGGCGCAGTGGTGGTGGTCGTTGTTGTAGTTGTGGTTGTCGTGGTTGGTGCCTGTTCCTTAACCTCTTCACCAGTTAGCGCCACTTCTTTATTATGCTCCCGATTATTTACATCTGAATTATCGGAATCACCTGTTGATCCTGGTGAAATGATATTTTCTTCTAATGCCCCTGGCTGACCAGACGCATCTCTTCCATCTTGCAAAGTGGGTACCCTACTTGGTCCTTCTTCTCCTGCACCTGTCGGAGATGAAGTTGCCGGAGCAGAGACGGTCTTCTGTGGTCTCTCTGACGAACCGGCCTCCTTATCTGAAGTCTGTCCATTAATTTCCGTGCCTTTTGCTCATCTATTGTCGGAATCGTTTGAAACCACTGAATCCTGGGGCGTTGGAGTTTCTCCAGGTTCACCAGTTTTATCTCCACTCCCTGCCGCGCATACGTACGGTCAGCAGCACAGGGCGAGCACCAACAGGGCGCACAGCAGACGGCACGTCATCATCATCGTGAGTGTGGTCGTTCAGTGGTGTGGAGCTGATCTGCACGGTGAGGGAAATGGAGAGCAACAGGGGAGACGAGAGGTGCGGCAGACACACACAGAGGGCACACCACATGAGGAGAGGGCAGCAGCCAGGCATGCACCGTACGCCGCACACCACGCACCACACACACACTCCAATCCACGGCAGCAGGCACACACACACACACAGCCCTGCCGCAACACCAACACACAGATGGAAGAGGGAGAAGCAAACAGGAGCGGCACACAAGGCTCCACCGCATGCAAACACGGCGAGAGCGGTCCGTCGTGTCGGCACCCCTCACGGAGGGTACGCACACACACAAGAGGAGGTGCAGCGCGCACAGCAACACAAAAGCAAAGTAACACTAAAAAGGGATATCCCCGTCAACCACGTGGATCGTTGGTCCACGGCAAGTGCAGCCAATATTCATCGCAAAAGCAACTTGTTATCTTGTTTTCGCTGTATGCTGTTACAATAACGAGTGAGTAACGCAAGGGCCGTCCGTACAAAAGTGGCGAGCATTCCGTCCGAAACGTGCCGTCGTGCGGGCTGGGGTACTCCAAAACAGTCGCAGTCCATATTACCAACGACGGGGGCATTTCTGCAGTGGATGAAGCGAATTCTTTCGTGGTCCATCTTGAGTACCCGCGGTTGTGCTTCCTGCGTGCCTTGCCTGCTGGCATGCTTAGCGACTTCGGTGGCGACCTGTGCGCGAGGCACCTGTTAAGAAGACGGTGGCACCATTGTGACGTCCGCATCCTAGGCCTCTCAAACCATTGGAACGCCAGGCTGAGCACGTCCGGCATGTGCCCTCATACTGTGGACGGACGAGCGCATTATGCCGCAGGTTGGGCAGGAGGACGTCAATCCGCCGCTCGCTGGTCGGCAAGGAGTTGCGGTGCCCACGTCGGGAAGAGGTTCTGGCGGAGGCAGCGGCGGGCCGGTCTCCTCAGTGAGGGAGGGACGGCACCACCGACACAGAGGGTTATTTGTGATACGAAGGGCACGCGCAGGCATGTCGAGGAGTGGGCAGGAGCCGCACCGTGCCTGTGCGCAGAGCCGTCACTCGGGGCACGATGCCCAAGTCGTGACAGGAATAGAGTCCCCGCCACACCGACAGGTGCCTGCCATGCGGTGTACGCGCCTTCTTTTTCTTCTGGGCATCCCTCCAGTATAACCTCATGAAGGCTGTAAAAAAGTCCACGTGCCAGATTGGGCTGTCTTCCTGCGGGAGGGATCGTGCAATCATGGCTTGTTCGTCGGCGGCCTCATTGCGTGGGATACCGCAGTGCGATAGAGAGAACATGAAGTCTACAGAGTGACCTCGCTGTATCAAGTAGAGCAGCATAATCCAACTCTCTTCAGTGACGTAGTCTCGCACGGCCAGTGGGACGACGCGGAGTGCCTCAATTCTCGACGGGAATTCCGTAGCCACCAGGATTCGTGTGGGCGATTGGGATGTTTCCAGACAAAAAGTTATGAGATGTCTAATGCCATTTTCAGTGTCAAGGCACTCTGCTCTATATGAGTATGCGAGCCTGCCAGCTGCTGCACTATGGACCTCCACAGGGAGATCATTTGTCGTGGTGGAGCCATACAATAGTGCACCGGATCCAGATGCGAGCTCAGCAAGAGATGAAGAAACGTCTGTCCATAATTCAAAATCAAAACCTCCCAGAGAGGAGTAAATAGAGTCAATAGCCGTGCGCTTGACGTCGTCAGAGGCGTCTTGGGCAAGGCGTGGCTGATAAATTCCACTTTATTGCAGCTCACAGTGTCCCAGAGGAAAATTCGATGTTGAATAGGAGGAGCACGATTGTGGTTATGTGGTATCCCAATAATATTACATACGCGGCGCAATCCATTAATAGCAGCATCTCTCGGAGGCAGGATTGATGTCGCCGCTTTCCCATGCATGGACGGCGGCATAGCCTCCAATCAGATTGCGCCACACACGTCCTCAATATATCAATGAAGTGTGAGGCGTTCGTATTGTGTGAGTGCACGACGCCAATGGTCCTTCGCAGCGGTACTGGATTGGCGGCCAGGTGGACACAAGCATCCTTCTTTGATGCGCGTGGACCGAGCGATGCAGTGCAGCTGTCGCGGTGCCGCACTTCCAGGCCGTGGAGGTGAATGGGAGCCGGACACGGTGCGACCGCCTCGCCGCCGTGGTGCAACGCACTGTGGACGCACCCAACCAGAAAGTATCGCGTGGTGTGCCGGGACGCACCAGCCTCTGCACCCGGCCGCAGCCGATGGCGGCGTGGCACGGTCTGCCTTGCAGCAACGGTGACGTGCAAACCAAAATTGAGGTGTCGATCAATCGCATTGCCGAGAAGACTCACCGGGTGGGACTTGACGCGTGGATTCCCATCGCCCAGACGATGGTCGGCCGTCTCCTCGTCGGACTGTCGGTGTGAAACGATGCAGAACAGAGCGGCCCCGCTCCTGTCCGCGTTGATCTTCAGGCTGTGCTCGGCAGCCCATGTGGCCACAAGGGACACGGCAGTTGGCATTGCCGCAGCACAGGCACGGATGTCCGCGCCCAAGGCAACAAGCGTGCGGCCGTCAGCGTGAATGAACGCCGACGCAAAGTGAATGCTGTACAGGCAGCGCAACAGACCACCCACGCGGTGGAGTAGGAGCTGCGGTCCAAGGAAGCCGCATTGGGCTGCCACGGCTGAGGCGAGCCGCAGTCAGGAATATTCTCGGCGAGCACACACCCAAACACAGCCGCCTCGCAGGTGATTGCGCCACCAGCGTTGGGTGCGACGGCCCAGGCGCGGTAGCCCGTCGAGCACAGCCAGCACTCGCCCATCGTCAACGGTGTCTAATGCAGTTGAGATGCCGATCGGGACGGCGAGAGAGCGGTGACGGCGACGGTGCAGCGCGGGACGCCGTCCCTGCGACGCCCGCACTCCACGCTAATGCGCTCGCTCAGCACTCGTGACTCTTTTTTCACTCACAGGCGGCGGTGGACCAGTCCTTCCCGTGTCTGTGGATGCGAGTGGTGTCCCTCTTTTCCCAGCAACTTCGCTGGGCTGCCGTCAGCGAGGGAGGTATTGATTATCGTTCTGTGCAAGCAAAGGGTAGCGGGTGCAAGATGGCGCAGAAACTCACTCAATACGCCGACGGGTCCAGGGGCCACGCCACGCAAACAGTCGCGGACGGCCAAGTCAGGTGCACACGGCGTGAAGGGCCAATCCATATGCCAGTCACCAGAGGGCACGCAAGCACAAAGTGTGCGGACAACAGTGAGGATCGCAGCAAGTGCGACGCGGACAGTGTGACGGACGAGCGGGTGTGCCTGCTGCAGAGGCAGAGCACAGACGCGGTCCCGAGAGTACCGCAGCACAGCCGATCCCAAGGAGCGGGGACGTGGTGCCGCCATGCTTCGGAGCATCACAGGCCTGGGCTCCACAAGAAAACAAGCTGTTTCGCACGGACCTCTGGCAGCATGGAGAAAACACGGCGAAGGGCATGATTGCGGTCCTCCCATTTGCGGAGCACTTCAGCTCGAGGCAGGCTGTCGCCGCAACAGACTCGGCCTTCTCCATTCCGTCCGTCGTGATACATGTGGGACTGTCACGGCTGCCACTCGTGCGGTGCCTCAGTGCATTTCCAACCATGTGATTACAGCGGCCAGAGGTGTTTCACACGCCGAGGTGGAAGCATCACAGTCAGCTTCACGCAGGGCAACGGCGACATGTTTCCGTTGTGGCAGCATGCCTGCCTGTCGTGGGATGCCGTCCTCCGTCCCTGCAGTGTGGGATGGCAGATGTTGGTCCGAGTCCATGTAAACGGGTGGACGTCCAGTGGAAAACATGCAGTACGCGTTGTGCATTCAAATTGGTAAATGAGACGCTGCGGCCGCTGATCCGCGTTGCCTGTGCCGGGACGTCAGAAAGCTCAATCTCCATGCCGCTTGGGGTGGTGGCGAGGACCTCTCCTGCCGTCGTGGATGGTGAGCGACCGTCACGCAGCTCATGGTGTGAGTTCAGGTCAACCGCAATAGGCGCTGCAGGACCAAGACGACGAATGTCGCTCGCAAAGTGAGCAGTTGCCGGGAAGGCTGCAGAAGTTCACCGCGTAAATGCTGGGGCTGGCCGGTGGGCACACGCGGAAGGCGGTGGTCTCCAGGCAGTTGGTTCCAGCAGCGACAGGCGCCCGCACGGAAATGTGTGGCGCACCACGAGGGCCACTTCACCGGCACGCCCACTGCAATGCCCTGGTGGAAGTCAATGCAGACAATGAGCCTCGTCGCTGGGGCACTCTGGTGCCTGCACTCCTGCAGAAGAGCCATTTCGCGCCGGTGCTGCGCCAGTCGAGCAGCAGAGGCAATCCTGAGGGAGAACCGCCTAAAATTCTGAGGTGCGGCTCTTGTGGACACCACCGCAGCGGGTGATGCCGGCAAAGTGACCGCGATGAAACGACTGTTCGGTTGTCAGTCGGGCTGCAGGCAAACCGCCTCGCCGCTCCACAACCGACAGAGCGTGGGACCTTCTCGAGGGGTGACGCCGTCGTGGTCCCCATCACGCCCGCAGCAATGCCCTGCCGCAATCACTCGCACAGAGAGATAATAAAGAGTGTGTGGATGTGTGCCAAGAGCACAGCGACTGTCATTGCCAGAGAAGGCCATCGTGGCACCGTCGCCAAGACATTCCTGCAGAGCACTGTGCAACTAAGTATGTGTGTGTGCTGGAGGAGCAGAAAAGAAGAGGAGCACAGGAAGGCACATCAACACAGCAACAGGCACAACTGGAGAGCAGCGACAAATGCGGCACGGCCCCGACATCAACAATCGCGCACGGTGGCAGCAAAAACCCATCCGCAAAAACAAAAAAACAGAACAAATCCTTAAAGAAAAACACGGCGGCAGGGTGTGGCTGTGTGTGTGGCGCTGCGGGTGTCTGCCAGCCCTGGCCGCAAAGAAAACAAAACAAGAGGGAAGAAATGTGTGCTCCGCCCCACTGGCCCTCGTCGCACGTCCACACGTCACGGCTCCCTCAGCACGCCATTCGTCGCGGCCCCTCCTCATGCGTGCAGCAGGCGAGGCGCACAGGGCCGTCGTCATGAGCGTGTCGGTGGGTGTGCGAGTGGAGCAGTTGGGCGGAAAGACACGGCACCCCTCACAGGAAGAGTGCAGCAACAAACAATTAAAGGGGGAAGAGTAGAAAAGAAAAAGAGGTACATAGTGACTGCCCCCAAAGCAAAAAAAAAAAAAAAATGAAGGAAGTGAGAGAAAAGAACAATAAAAAGTAAAAAAAAAAGCAATTAACGAAAGAAAAAAGAAATTAAGAAAAAATCACACAACCAGAAAAAAAAAACATTTAAAATATTTTAAAGCAAACAGCAAAAAAAAAATTAAAAACAGTTAAAACAATCATAAGAGGACAAAAACAAAACAGAAACAGTTACGGTGCTCCGCCCATGCAGCCAGGCAGGACGGCAGCGGTGCGTGTCGTGCAAAAGAGAGCACCAACGGGCCTGCATGGGTGTGCATGCATATATACAATGGGCACATTATTGTGTGTGCCTCGTGGGGTGAGGTGAGGGCGAGAGTCCATGCAAGGGGACACACACACAGAGAGAGAAGGACGAGTGTGTGTGCGGGCGGTGCATGGCTCTCTCTCCCTCACTCTCTCTCACGCGGCCACCACCGCAGCTGCAGCAGCACACGCAACAACAAGAAGAAGCAAAAGAGGGGAGGTGGAGTGGGATGCATCCGTGTTTTGACTGTAGTTCTTCTCATTTGCTGAATTTGTCTTTGGCTCTTGAGTTTTTATCCCATGCGTTGTTGTGTTGGATACTTCCGAGAGTGCTCCTCCACTGCTTTGGGATTCTGTATTTTGGTCCCCTGGTGATTTTTTTGTCTCGTTCGTTTGTGAATGGTCATTTTTCTTTTGTTCTTCCAAAGAGTCTTGGAGTTCATCTCCCGCGGCGTCGTGGCCAAGACTGTGACCCCCTGCTGAGGCAGAATTGTTTCTTTGCTTTTCAGTGTTGGATGACACCGTTGGCTGTCCTTCGGGCGAAGAGGTGTCCTGACTCCCTGTTTCCTTTTGTGCCGAAACTTCTTTCGAGGATACAATCTGCTCATCGGATGAAACACTGACCGGGGCTGTTTTTCCATTACCACCTTGACTTGAGGAAGTAACGACAGAGCGAGAGTCCGGAGGTTCACTTCCACCACCAACAGAATGGCCAGCACCGGGACCAGCAGGACCATGACCGGGAATAGCAGGACCATGATCGGGACCAACGGGAACATGACCGGGACCAGCAGCACCAAGACCGGAAAGAGCAGGACCACGAGCAGAACCAGGACCAGGAATAGCAGCATCACGACCATGACCAGCAGCATCAAGACCGGAAAAAGCAGGACCGGGAACAACCGGGCCATTACCGGGAACAGAAGCACCAGGAATAGCGTCAGGAACACGAACAGGACCATGACCGGGAATAGCACCAGGACCATGACCATGAGCGGCAGGACCATGACCAGGAATAGCAGCACCAACACCGGAAACAGCAGGACTGGGAACAGAAGCTCCAAGACCATGACCAGCAGCACGAAGACCGGGACCAGAAGGACCTGGACTGGGAACAGCAACACCAGGAATAGGAGCATCAGGACCACGAACAGAACCAGGGCCAGGAACAGCAGGACCAGGAACAGGACCAGGGCCAGGAACCGGAACAGCAGGACCATGACCGGGAATAGCACCAGGAACATGATCGGGACCAGCAGGACCATGTCCAGGAATAGCAGCAGCAGCACCGGGAACAGCAGGACTGGGAACAGAAGCTCCAAGACCATGACCAGCAGCACGAAGACCGGGACCAGAAGGACCTGGACTGGGAACAGCAACACCAGGAATAGGAGCATCAGGACCACGAACAGAACCAGGGACAGGAACAGCAGCACCATGACCGGGAACAGTGGGACGGGGACTGGAGGCACCAAGATCGGAAAAAGCAGGAACAAGACCCGTGGCTCCACTTAAATGTGAATCAGTAACCCTTGCAGAAGAAACTTTTCCTTCACGAGCTTCGGCTTGCATAGCAGAGATAAACGATGCTGACAGCAAAAGCGGTGTGGATAAGTTTTTAATAGATCCGTTTGACAAAAACGACGTATTCCTTCCAAACCCTCTCGACGCCATGTAGCCGCCCAGTGAATTGTTGTCAGGGTTCCTCGCATAAACCCCGCCGGCACCGCACCACAGCACGCAGAGGGCACACACCAGCAGCACACGGCCAGTCATCATCATCGCCATCACTCCTGTCACTTGCGTGTAGCCTTCAGCACAAACTAACAACACGTCAACGCAGAGTGAAAGGCAAAAGGAAAAACAAATCACAAAGTAACACGCACCGTAAACAACGGCAGCAGCCCTGCAGAGGAACGCACACTGACCCGCACACCAGAAGTAAAAAAGCAATACCAAAACAAAAAGAGTAGTTGAGTGCCCAACAGGAGTCTCCTCCTCAAAAAAAATACACTTCAGCAGGATCATCATTTCATACGCCATGCAGTAATGCAGGACTGTGTTTATATGTACATGCGTACAGTACCTGCACAAGGAAAAAATTATTACTGTTCCACAAGCCCACACAACATCCCACACATTTCATGCGGCATCCGGCCTGTCTCTCCACTCCTCCTTTTGTGTCCTCCGTGGAGCGCACAGCCGTGGGGCCTGTACCGCGTGTGGGCAACAGAAGTAATCAAGAGGGAAAACAATTCGCTCATGACGGTGCGCAGCAACCGACCATTAAGTAAAACAAAAGAAAAAGGTACTCCCATTGTTCCATGTAAACAACATTAAAAAGAACACCAAAAAAAGAAAGCCCGCAGGGAACGCGGCACATATTCTCCGTGAGAAGTCGCAACGCCACACTCCGTGGCTCAGAACACTGCCACAACCACACACAGTCCCAAAAACAGAGGCAGCAGTGGTGTTTCCACCCACGAGGTGATACGTTCGCCGCTGCTCACTGTCGGCAAGGACATGTCACCTTCAAAAAAGATTACTCTGCTCTCTTAGATCTTCTTGTTTAAAGAAGATGTGGTCTGTGTGGCGCTGCTTCACGCACCGCTGTTTGTGGGCTTCTTAGTGGCGGGGAGTGTGCTCAAGGACCATGGATACAGTCCCATCGCCCGTACACATCGGTGGTATTGGACGTCATGAGGTCATTATATTTTTTTCCTACTCTTACCAGCGCGTCTAGCTATACAATGCCATCTGGGTGCCGAAGAGGTGGTCGAGCAGCAAAATGAGTTTCCTGCTATGAAGCAGCTGCCATTAAGAGAACTCTCCGAGGCGAAGGTCCTGTTCAATGCCCAGCCGTCGGCGCACAGCCAAGGTGCCTGGACATTCTAGAAGCAGATGGTGCAAGGTTTCCTGCGAGCCAATCGGCGTGCTTGTGGAGGCTGGCTGATCCTGCGGCAGCAGAGATCGACTCCTGGCACTGCTGTTTGGATGCCGTGTGGCGTCTGGGTTGTGTGCGCAGCGACTTCTGTGCTGTGCGGTGCTTCTCCGTGTGGGGAAAACCATGTCACAGAAATCACATTTGAGCTCGGGAAGCGGTGGAGGATGTTCCGAATGAAATGACCGACAGTGACTGACGAGACCCGAGAATCCCGTCAATATAGAATCACAGTGCGGACATTTCTCCTTCCGACGGCGTGTGAGGGTCCGTCTCCTTACTGGAGAGACGTCTTCCTCCCTCGCCGACGGGGGAACAGTGTCCGTCCCCGGTGCAGTTGGATCGTTGTTAGAGCGCATGTATGCAGACTGTGCCGGTGAGATGTTGCAGAATCGGCATTGGTTCGTGCAATCTCTCACGGCCCAGCATAGTCGGCCCCAGAGCTCAGATTCCCCGCACCTTGCCCTTGCGAGGTGAACCAGTTCCTGACGGTGAAGAACTTCCTGAGTGATCAGGTCCTTACCGCTGAGATCGGATGGCCTTGTGCCGCAAAGCAAGTAGCGATGAGTGTCTTGACGAATGGTACTACGCCACTTGTTGGTGAGCTGGGTAGTAAAACATGTCAGCAGATCCGTATGCCATAAAGGTGCTATTCCGTGCTCCGTGTATTGTCCGGTTGCCATAGTCTGCTTCGCATACTGATCTGCAAGCTCGTTAGCATGTACTCCACAATGTCCGTAACAAAACTGCAGGTGCACTGACCAGCCAGCACGCGTCAGTGTCAAGAGACGCTGCCAGATCTGATCCTCCGTCCAGTCTGTCTGACTGAGCGGGCCCTTGTTTAGAGCCGCTAGAAGAGAATGACTGTCCGTAACCACAAGCAGGGTTTTATGCCTGTACTGGATACGAGGGATCATCAGCTTCTCTAGGGCTAGAAGCAGCGCACGGGATTCCGTCCTGTAGCTGCATGGACGTGCACCGCAGTTTATGCTGGCCTTTTCTATTATCTCCGATGAGTTGAGGGATGAAAGCAGTATTCCAACCCCTGCTGACTTGGGAACGTCGACACCGCCATCCGTCGCAAGTATCCACGAACGATGGCTGTGCAGCGCCAGAGCCTCTTCGCTGACTCTGCGCCTTTCCCGTATCAGCTCTTCTTCGTCAGTTATTGAGAGGTCTATCGGAAGTTCCACACCGATGGTGACCCGGTGTGCGGAGGCCGCAAACCAGGGAGGAATGGAGCTGCGAAAGAACCGCTCTTCGCGTGGTGAGCTCTCGGTGATGCCATAGTCCTTTGTGTATGCGTCTACGAAGGCATATAGCTCGTCCCGAGATAATGGCGAGATGCGGAAACCAGCGCGAGGCGGTGGCTCAGGCGGGGGTCTCCGCATCCAGTCCATCTGACACGCGCGTGTGTTCTCAAATATGGAGAGCCGTGCGCGCAGGCAGAGGACGTGGAGCGGCGGCATATTAGCCTCCAGCAGTGCGGATTCCGGGTCGACAGTGCTCGGAACTCCGCTGACAATGCGTGCCAGAGTTGCGTACGTTTTCTGCATCTCATTCTTCGCTGAATCCGTTGCTACTGCCGATATGAGCTCGCTGCCATAGCGTAATTTGGAAGCACCGTATCCGATGATGAACGTGCGTAGGTCATGTGGAGATGGTCCCGCCTCTTTGTGCGCTATGCAGCGTAGCTGCGATATCCGTTGCAAAGTGGCAGCGCATTGCTTGGAGGCCGCCACATTTAGCGTCAGTCGCGGATCGAGATCCATGCCGAGAAGCTTCGTAGTTCGCGATGCCCCCATGGTCATGACTGGGATTTGACATCCAGCCACTACCAGGGGCCACTTTCCTTCACGATCACAATCTGACTCCGTGTGCGTGGAAAGTGTGAACCAAGCAGCTTCACACTTTGACGGATTGATGGCCAGGCCATTTTCCTGACTCCACGCATGCAGCTTTTTAAGAACCATGTTGGCAGTGGGAATGGCGTCTTCCCGGGACTGCCCCTTAACGATAATAGAGAGGTCGTCCGCATACATGTCTGCTGTGACACCCGCAAAGCTGTTCAGCAGATTGAGAAGTGGGTGTACGTAAAGGGAGAACAAATATGGTCCCAGCACGGACCCCTGAGGAACTCCTCGCAGCATGGGACGCCGATCGCCGTGTCTGTGACCAACTCGTGTCCTCGCGTAGCGACCACATAGAAATTTTCTAAGCCACCTTCTACAATTCACCCCCGGAATATTAGCCAGCAAGCGACTGAGGACTCGATGGTCTATGGAGTCAAAGGCCTTGCTGAAGTCAACCAACACCAGCAGAGTCCGATGGGGTCTGTAGTGGAGTTGATTGCCAATACCGCTCTTCTTGGGAAGGCTCACTTGGAAATATTGATTTCTATTATGCTCCACTTCGTGTGTCAGGTGTGCCAGCTGCATCGTCGTAGTACGCATACTACGATATGCATACTGGTGGGGGTGCGGCGTCCACACCCAAAGCAATCTCTTCAGTACCATTTTCTCAGCAACCTTACTCACAATGGAAGTAAGGCTGATGGGTCGATATGACTCAAGCAGTTCCGGCGACTTGCCGGGTTTTAAGAGTGGAACGATGGTAGCGCGTCCCCACTCAGCCGGGATCGTACCGGTCGTCCAGCTGCGGTTAATGCAACGAAGAAGGAATCGGAGGCCCTTTGACGAAATATGTCGCAGTGCCTCACTGCAGACTTCATCCGGTCCGGGGGCCTTGCCATACGGCGTAGTACGTAGCGCAGCAAGCAGTTCCGTACGATTAAAAGGTGCATCAAGAGGGCAGTGACAAAACCCTGATGTAAATGTAAAGATAGACTCGTTGCTGTTCTGTGGTCCAAAAATAAAAGAAGCATTAATGTTGAAGGATGTGTTCCGTCTGTTGATGCCTTTGGAAAACCTGACTGCCTTATGAGAGGGGTGAAGTGGAAGAAAGATGCGATTGAGAGCATTCGCTGCTCTCCTTGCTGTTTCATAAGTGTGTTGAGCATCTCCTAACAAAATTGATGTGGGAGATGGAAGTGGTGCCTTTTTTCGTCCGGAAATGTATTTCCATGCGAGTGGCTCGCCTGGATTTAACTTGCTGATGCGACGTGGATACGTGTTGCGCAAGCGCTCTCGGAGTAGGAGGAAGAATTGACTCCTTGTCCGTTGCATTTCTGCCTCACGGTCGGGCGTCGGTAACTGCAGATAGCGGGCCTTGCTGTCGGCAGCAATCCGCTCTGCCTCCATGAGAGTGTCGTCCCAAAGCCTGGGACCGTCCTTGTGCATGCCGCGGGGGCAATGCCGTCGATACGAAGTTATAAGCGCTCTCGTGAAAGCTTTAACGCCGGTGGACTGCTTTTTATAGTCGTATGCCGGATGTTGTGCGTCGAAGTCCTTGACGAATAAATCCCACTTGCACTTCCCCCAACTGTGGAATATCCTAGGAGCCGAAGGTATGGTATCCTTAAATGCCTGATGCGGCGTAAATGTCAGCATATAATGATCACTAAGCGGCGACACGGAAGCTGACCAATCCGACACAGTCAAATGCTTTGACCACGTCAGATCGATACAGGATTGTTCTCTTGTGCCACGGGCATACGTGATCCCACCAGGGGTGTTTGTTAACCAAGGTGAGTCCCGCATCCGTGCACAGTTCTAAAAATGCTGCGGCAACCTCGCTTGGAGAAGTCTCCAAGAATGGCTCCCACTGTGGGTGATGCGTGTTGAAATCCCCACACTGCAGGAGCTGCGACGAGGCTGGAAGGCAGTTTACTAACCGCCTGAAGGAGTGCGTTACTTGCGGTGGTGGTCTCACATAGGCACTCGCGACAATAAGATCACGGTTCTGGTCCAGAGCAGCCTGGACCACCACCACTTCATGGCTGGTGTCATGCTGGGGGATGGTGAGAGGTATACGCTTGGAGCGGAGAGTTTTCCGCACCAGTACCGCCACACCGCCTCCCTTGCCGATGCGCGACTGTGCATAGAGCACATAATCTCCAGTATGCATGCTGGCGATCTGCTCTGACGACTTCCAAGTCTCCTGAATGGCTATTATGTCTGCTCCTTGCACCATTAATGTTGCGAGTTTTGACGGCGTGAGGCAAGAAAAGTTCATCTGGAGTACTGCTATGGGGCCTGGGTTCTGCTCAATGTCTCCGCTTAGCAGTAGCTTTTGTCGTTGCGCGTCACATACGGCACAAAAACGGTATGTATAGCGCTGATAAGCGCCGATGGAATTCAGCAGCGGATGAAAACACCGCTCAGCGGACAACCATTACAAATGGCTCCATCTGGTGCCCTTCCGACCCGATTGTTCGGCGCCTTTCACCTCTCCGCTGGCAGCGGATGGGCAGCAGGCGCTTAGCTTCCTCCCTAGCAAAGAGTACTGCACCCTGGCACCACGTTGAGGTGGCCCGCTGACCCAGAGCGTTGTTGTAGTCTTATTGGTGGTACTATTTGGCATTTTGATCTTCTGATTTGATATCGGTGCCTTATGATTCTCATCGCCTCGTGTATTTTACTGCGCCTTTTATTTTGTGCATCTGACATACCGGTCGCACCTTGTGTGTGTGTGTGGAGACTGAGTTGCCAAGCCTGGTGGCTCTGGATTATCGCTAGCCGAACTCAGTGACTCTGGCGGAACTCGTGTCTGTCCAGTGATGGCTGTGCCTGCTTCCTTTGGAAAGAAGGTCCTGGACTTCTCAAACCCTCCTCGCTGTCTCTCCCACTCTCTGTCTGTGGCACACCGGTCTCCCCACCATATGGCTGTAATGCACCAGGCATGTTTTTGTAGGATTCGGTTTCCCTGGCTCGGGGCTGGGAGGACGGCTGTTATCACCATTATTGTCTCCTGCCGCCGTCACGCACACGGACGAGCAGCAGCAGCACAAGAGCGCAAGGACCAACACGGAGCCGCACCGTCACCATCGCAGTCATCATCGCCCGTAGTGGAGTCGCTGGTGTCAGTCAGCTGATCGGTGCGACGGAAAGGAAAGGAATGGAACGGGAGGGAGAGGGACGGAGCACAGCGGATACAGCGAGAGAGCAGACAACATGAGGAGAGGGCAGCAGGCCCAGCCGCACAGTTCACACACCACGAGACGGCATCCACGCAAGGAAGACACACAACGCCAGCAGCCACCCACCATGCAGGAGGAGAAGACATCCACCACCATCTCCCCCAGCTCATTCCCGCAGCCCCAGGGAAATGGCAAAAACCCGCGGCCACCACACAACGCACACGGAGCAAGCGAACCCTCATCCATCCATCACGCGGCACAAAATTTCCTGCCATCCCGCCATCAATGGGACACGGAGCCCAACTCAGCGCAGTCGCACGCGGTGCATCACACCCGCAGAAAAATAGACTCGGGCTGCGCGCCCCTCTCTCCCTCCTCCTCATGGCCACGGAAGAAGACAACAGCCGCCACACGCAACTGCCAGCATGCACTACAAAAGGTGCATTCAAATCCACTGCAATGTGCACCTTGTGTGTGTGTGGTTGTGTGTGCCTGCAGCAACACAAAGCAAAGAAGCAGAAAAGAGGGAGCAGAGTATGCGGAGGGACGCACAAAAATGTACAGCGGAGACGCATAACGGAAACAACAACAAGAAGACCGCTCAAACTCATGACTGCACTGCAGCCCAAGCAGCGGCAATTCACAAAACATTTATTGAAAACAAAAAAACGTCCCCCTTCGTCTTACGTAAACCCCACCACACAAAATAATTATAAATGAAAAGAAATCGTCCATTACTGCTCCACACAAATTTAAAATAGTAAAAAGATCGCCTGGCTGCCGTGTGGCCACACCAAACTGTCTGTATGTATTTTGCCCAAAAGAAAATTAAAAAGATGGTTGCGTGTGCTTCAACCGTCCGACCCTCCATGTGTCCGCACATCGTTTATATTTCATGGGGTCATCCGCGTGTTGCTGCTCCCCTCAGCCCTCTCATCGGCGCGTGAGTGCGGCCCGCAGAGCACAGTCACTCGTGTGTGTGGGGACTGAGAGAAGCACGCAGACATGACGGCAGTCGCGTCTCTCCATCGGGAGAGTGAGCGCAGCAAAAGAAAAAATCATCGGAGGGGAGAGAAATGCTCACGAGGCCGACACCGGAGGGTGCGCCACCGCGTGAAATAAACACGCGAAGCAAAACAAATCCTTGAAGAAAAACACGGCGGCAGGGTGTGGCTGTGTGTGTGGCGCTGCGGGTGTCTGCCCGCCCTGGCCGCAAGAAAACAAAACAAGAGGGAAGAAATGTGTGCTCCGCCCCACAGGCCCTCGTCGCACGCCCACACGTCACGGCTCCCTCAGCGCGCCGTTCGTCGCGGCCCCTCCTCATGCGTGCAGCAGGCGAGGCGCACAGGGCCGTCGTCATGAGCGTGTCGGTGGGTGTGCGAGTGGAGCAGTTGGGCGGAAACACACGGCACCCCTCGCAGGAAGAGTGCAGCAACAAACAATTAAAGAGGGAAGAGCAAAAAGAAGAGATGGGGGAGTGA